GGTTGTCAATGGCTCTGACATCGCTATGATACTTGTGTCGAACGTTTCTATGGAGGAGCTTTTCTTGTGCCAATCATTTGTCCGGCAACGTACACCATCTGTGCGTACGCACCTCGCCCTGCCGCTCATGTTAAACACTTAAGCTGGTGCGAATCAAATCAATGTCTTCACTAAAAGGGGTGTCATGTAAACTCAAGCTTGTTCAGATAGATACCGCAGATAAAACCTTTTTTTTGGAATAAATGAGAAGTGTATAGTCGAGATTGTTGCTATTCTGAGACGCAGAAAGTTTGTGCTGTAAATATTAGACCAGTAGACCAAAAGTTAGAATAACAGTTAGTTTCAGCTTAGATACGTAAAAAGAATCAGTATTTAAAAAAAAAAAAAAAAACAATTTTGGAAAGTATCTATGTAGCAGTGAGTGCTATGAAAGCCAGTTTCTTATTTGGAAAATAAGACGGTAGATGGAGTATTTTGAGTTCAAGGTCACCATATAATGAGTATTGGTGAGCGAAACCGTGCTACTTAAGGTCGTTAAAATACTGGAGCACGAGGCTGCAGGCTATGGCTATTTTAGGAAATTTTAAAAATAATTCACGGGCCAGTCACTCTTACTGCTTTAAGAATAGTTCTATTTATGGAGAAGTCATCTTTTATCACCAAGTTTATCAAGGATTGAAGCATTTGTAACAAAGAAAACATAAACAAAAATGAAACAATTTTTTAAATTTAAAAAACGTATTTGATATTGGTGGTCTAGGTTTTTATTCTTTAGATTCCTTGATTTAAAATAGCGTACATTCCTAGACCTGTGCAAAATAAGTAGAATTAGATCGCCATGGGCAGAACTTCATGGGGGCCTTTTGCGCTGTTAGCTTAGTTTACGACATAATTGTAAGGCTATTCATATCCATAAGGGTGATAATTATTTCATAGCTATATGGGTAACAATTCTCTCCACTTCAAGGGCAATAAGTCTCTCAACTTCAAGGGTCCTAAGTCAACAACAAGGACAATAATTCTCTCAACTTCAAGGGTAATAAGTCTCTCAACTTCAAGGGCAATAAGTCTCTCATCAATCCACACAACAGGGAGTCAACAATTATACCAAGTACAATCTATACTTATTTATAGTGTTTCAAGACCTCATCATCCCCAACATATCTCACCATATCTCACCATACCTCACCATACCTCACCATACCTCACCATATATCACCATATCTCATCGTATGTCAATAAATCTTACAATATCTCACCATATCTCATCGTATGTCAATAAACCTTACAATATCTCACCATATCTCATCGTATGTCAATAAATCTTACAATATCTCACCATATCTCACCGTGTCTCAATAAATCTTAAAATATCTCATCATATCTCACCGTATGTCAATAAATCTTACAATATCTCACCATATCTCATCGTATGTCAATAAATCTTACAATATCTCACCATTTCTCATCGTATGTCAATAAATCTTACACTATCTCAACACATCTCATCGTATGTCAATAAATCTTACAATATCTCAACACATCTCATCGTATGTCAATAAATCTTACAATATCTCACCATTTCTCACCGTATGTCAATAAATCTTACAATATCTCACCTTATCTCACCGTATGTCAATAAATCTTACAATATCTCACCTTATCTCACCGAATGTCAATAAATCTTACAATATCTCACCTTATCTCACCGTATGTCAATAAATCTTACAATATCTCAGCTTATCTCACCGTATGTCAATAAATCTTACAATATCTCACCTTATCTCACCGTATGTCAATAAATCTTACAATATCTCACCTTATCTCACCTTATCTCACCGTATTGCACCTCATAAAGCTAGTGACACAAACTAAACATCCTTCATTTGAAGGACTATGTCAGTTGTCAAACTTTTAACAAAAATTGGATGATGCATCCCACCCACTTCATCACAGATCCCTAAGATCATATTGCACCCACTCCATCACAAAGCCTTAAGATCACATCCCACCCACTTCATCACAGATCCCTAAGATCATATTGCACCCACTCCATCACAAAGCCTTAAGATCACATCCCACCCACTTCATCACAGATCCCTAAGATCATATTGCACCCACTCCATCACAAAGCCTTAAGATCACATCCCACCCACTTCATCACAGATCCCTAAGATCATATTGCACCCACTCCATCACAAAGCCTTAAGATCACATCCCACCCACTTCATCACAGATCCCTAAGATCATATTGCACCCACTCCATCACAAAGCCTTAAGATCACATCCCACCCACTTCATCACAGATCCCTAAGATCATATTGCACCCACTCCATCACAAAGCCTTAAGATCACATCCCACCCACTTCATCACAGATCCCTAAGATCATATTGCACCCACTCCATCACAAAGCCTTAAGATCACATCCCACCCACTTCATCACAGATCCCTAAGATCATATTGCACCCACTCCATCACAAAGCCTTAAGATCACATCCCACCCACTTCATCACAGATCCCTAAGATCATATTGCACCCACTCCATCACAAAGCCTTAAGATCACATCCCACCCACTTCATCACAGATCCCTAAGATCATATTGCACCCACTCCATCACAAAGCCTTAAGATCACATCCCACCCACTTCATCACAGATCCCTAAGATCATATTGCACCCACTCCATCACAAAGCCTTAAGATCACATCCCACCCACTTCATCACAGATCCCTAAGATCATATTGCACCCACTCCATCACAAAGCCTTAAGATCACATCCCACCCACTTCATCACAGATCCCTAAGATCATATTGCACCCACTCCATCACAAAGCCTTAAGATCACATCCCACCCACTTCATCACAGATCCCTAAGATCATATTGCACCCACTCCATCACAAAGCCTTAAGATCACATCCCACCCACTTCATCACAGATCCCTAAGATCATATTGCACCCACTCCATCACAAAGCCTTAAGATCACATCCCACCCACTTCATCACAGATCCCTAAGATCATATTGCACCCACTCCATCACAAAGCCTTAAGATCACATCCCACCCACTTCATCACAGATCCCTAAGATCATATTGCACCCACTCCATCACAAAGCCTTAAGATCACATCCCACCCACTTCATCACAGATCCCTAAGATCATATTGCACCCACTCCATCACAAAGCCTTAAGATCACATCCCACCCACTTCATCACAGATCCCTAAGATCATATTGCACCCACTCCATCACAAAGCCTTAAGATCACATCCCACCCACTTCATCACAGATCCCTAAGATCATATTGCACCCACTCCATCACAAAGCCTTAAGATCACATCCCACCCACTTCATCACAGATCCCTAAGATCATATTGCACCCACTCCATCACAAAGCCTTAAGATCACATCCCACCCACTTCATCACAGATCCCTAAGANAGATCACACCCCACGCACTCCATCGCAGATACCTAAGATCACATCCCACGCACTCCATCGCAGATACCTAAGATCACACCCCACGCACTCCATCGCAGATACCTAAGATCACACCCCACGCACTCCATTGCAGATACCTAAGATCAAACCCCTACCACTTTATCACAGATCCCTTAGATCAGCTCGAACAGGGCGAATTCTTTCTCTTAAAGTTAAGACAGAAAAATATACAAATTATTTTAACTAGTCCGTACGAATTGACAGCATGCTCTCCCAGAGGTTACTAAATCTAAGTGATCACTGTTTAAGTCATTTTGTCACTAAAGGAGTTCATTGATGGCTGATGTCTACGCTAGAGAAATACTTGAGATATCTTGTATTAAAAGTGCTATCATTGTAAAATGTTGTTTTGGTTAAATAAAAAAAAATATGTTTATATTTATTTATTTATGTATGTGCTGAAAATGAATATGTACAAGGTAATTAACAAAAAAAAAATCATTTATTTGGATCAATACAGAATTTTATGACATCGTATGTCATTTTATCTCAACTTATCTCTTCTCATGACGCATATCATTAAATTTGAGCTCATTTAACATTTTCTCATCGAATCTCACAATATGTCACCATATCTCATCATAAGACACAATGATGTGCGCTGTCGTATGCATTAGAAAGAGAAGAAAGACATATGTCCAGTCTGGTCATTGCATTGATAAAATAGTCGTTAAAATCACCGCTGACAGGTAAGGATTCGTACCAGCACCTGGACAGAAGTCTGGCCAGTAAGTTATTAGTGAGTGCTACTAGGATAGCCTGTGTAATTACAATAGCAAATGTAATACAATAGCCAATTTAATTACAATAGATGGTCTCATAACTTAAAATGACGGTGATCTTATATCTGAAGTAACTGGGTTCAATATATGAAGTTCTACAGAACACTTCAGACAGATACGGTACGATACAAGTACGGTGTGAATCATAACTCACAAGTACGGTATAACATCACAACACACAAGTACAGTGTGACTGCACAACATACAAGTACGCTATGATTGCTTTACTGTTTTGATGAACTTCGATTAAACTATTAATTATTCAAACATGTCATCCAGTGCATTACAGACATAGCAAACATTTCTCATGGAAGGCCAAACAAAGAAGACATTGTATTAAATATCATGTTAAAAAATATTTTATGAATGAAAAAGGATCCACTAAATACATTTTAAAAAGCTAACAAGTGTTTGATACCAGTCGTAACCAAAAGTCTTTAACAAATAAACAGTCTCAACAAACTGTATTAACAGCAATAACAAACAGTCTCAACAAACAACCTTAACAAGAAGTCTATACAAACAGTCTTAGCGAAACATCTTCAACAGAGGTTCGATGCACGACCAGAAAATGCCTCTTGACATGTGTAATGCCTAGCACCAACATTGGACACTGCTAATATCTCAGTCATGACATGCAGGGCTTCAAGTTTGAGATCCACTCATTCGTTTCATCTCAGATCGGTCACACCTCACCAAAGAAACAACCTTGAACTTGACTTACCTTAAAGAGTCTGAGTATGTTGGCCACCATGATGGACACGGGACTCGACGCCGCCCCAATGACTCCGGCCACCGGTTGGGGCGGGTGCCGCGAGGGTGACAAGCCGTCGGAACACCTGTAGTCATCCACGTCGATGCTGGACATCTGAGCCTTGATGAAGTCCATGCACTGCTCCAGAGCAAACGTGTCGTCGCTGCACGTGTCCAGCACGTGCAGGCCGATTTTGAGGCCAGGCAGGAGGTTCGGATCGGCGTTGATCAGGTCTACGGCGTAGAGCATGGCCTCCAACCGCTGGATGCCCTTCTCCCGCTTGATGCGTCCACAGGTCGCTCCGCCCTGGATGCCCTGCTCGTGCATTGGAAACAGACCCCCGAATACGACGTCGCCGCCGGTGACTATTTTTAGTAAAGGGGAGGAGCTGGCGTTGTTGACTCCGCCCCCTCCTCCGTGATCGACACTGGCTGTGAATGAGGAAGAAAAGACGTTGTGGGGGTGGATCTGGCCGGAGGTGAGTATCAGACAGGTGAGCAAGACCTGGGTGAGGTAAGTCACGTAATACCTGGGAATACGGCAGGTAGCAGGTGTTCTGGACATCCAACGGCAACACGATGTGATCATCGTGGACCTGGAAATATAAGAGCACAATTTTAAAATCTGAACTTTTGTTAACTATCCATAGCAATGAAGGCCCCATTAATTGTTACACACTCAAACCAACAGTCTTGAAAGTCAGTACCGGCAGCCATGCCGCCGTCGTCACTTCATAGACTAATTCACAAACACATGCAGGTCAGTGGAATCCTAAACACTAAATTATCCCCAATTGTCAAATCTTGTCAAACAATTAGAAGTTCATAAAACTTTTAGAAGTTCATCAAAGAATTAGAAGTTCATCGAACAATTAGAAGTTATCAAACAATTAGAAGTTCATCAAACAATTAGAAGTTCATCAAACAATTAGAAGTTCATCGAACAATTAGAAGTTATCAAAGAATTAGAAGTTTATCAAACAATTAGAATTTAATCGAACAATTAGAAGTTCATCAAACATCAGCCCACTTGCTCAGATAACACATTTATTATTATTAGATTTTTAATTGTTCAATAAACGGTTTGTCATAGTGGTGACTGGTTTCAGATTTGTCAATAGATTGTTAGTCAAAGATGAATATATTATTGATTAATTTTGTTCACGACGCCCCAATTTGTTAGCAGAAATTAAGAAATGACGAAGAATAAAAACAGAAACTGGAATAGGATATTCTAGGCCCAATAGAGGTAACATGTTAACTCAACACAATTGTACTTGTCGACCTTAGAATATCTCAATTTTAAATAACAATCATCTTCAGAATTGAACTAAAGCATTTAAAATAACCAAAATATCTTTAGAATTAAACTTTGACACATAAAGAACCAAAATTTGAAATTGATAAAAACACCTCAATTTTGAGACTTGGCATTCATGACAAGGCCAAACAACTTTGAGCTGGATCTGTACAGGTTTTAGGAGCGTGTTTAATCCGTTAAGTAAAAGGGGGGCTGGTGATCCATCCAGCTTAACCCACTACCGTCTTTTGGTAATAAGGGGAGCGACTGCAATCAGGTTAGCAAAAAAGGAAATGAAAAAAAACAAAGTATGGTCAAAGCTGAAAAAAAGAACGAAAAAAAAAATAAATAAAAAAAAAATTACTATTGTGTTAGCAGGAAGCCTTAGTCAGGAAACAAACAACATAAACTAAATTAAATTTTAAAAATAACACTTAGCTGAGAAGTAGTTTACGAGAGGGCAAGCAAGAATTGTGACAGAAAATAAGTAGGTGAACGATTAAATACAAGAAAAAAGGGAGAGAAAAGAGGAGAAGTCACTCCACTGTCATCAGCCGTGATGTGGATGGGAGGGGTAAAAGCTCAATCTATGAATAAAGACATGACGTTCATTTCCGTAGTGGGTTAACCCTGTCACTAGATACATCGGCATGAAGGGTTACCTCCAATGTTACCTTTAAGCTGCGCGGCTGCGCAGCTATCCCACAGACGCCGCTCAGAAATTTTGAGTATCCGTGCAGCGAATTTCCACGGAATTTGTGTGTGTTTGTGTTTGTGTTTGTGGGCTGTACAATTTTGCACCCAAAATATTGATGCAGTAAAACTTTGCACACAAACCAACACACCTTAGAGGGAACATTGGTTACCACTGTCATTAGACACATCGACATGAAGGGTTACCACTGTCACTAGATACATCAGCATGAGGGGCTACCACTGTCACTAGATACATCAGCATGAGGGGCTACCACTGTCACTAGATACATCGGCGTGAGGGGCTACCACTGTCACTAGATACATCAGCATGAAGGGTTAACAGTGTCACTAGATACATCAGCATGAGGGGCTACCACTGTCACTAGATACATCAGCATGAAGGGTTACCACTGTCACTAGATACATCAGCATGAGGGGCTACCACTGTCACTAGATACATCGGCGTGAGGGACTACCAATGTCACTAGATACATCGGCGTGAGGGGCTACCACTGTCACTAGATACATCAGCATGAGGGGCTACCACTGTCACTAGATACATCAGCATGAGGGGCTACCACTGTCACTAGATACATCGGCATGAAGGGTTACCACTGTCACTAGATACATCGGCATGAGGGGCTACCACTGTCACTAGATACATCAGCATGAGGGGCTACCACTGTCACTAGATGCATCGGCGGGAGGGGCTACCACTGTCACTAGATACATCGGCATGAGGGGCTACCACTGTCACTAGATACATCGGCGTGAGGGGCTACCACTGTCACTAGATACATCAGCATGAGGGGTTACCACTGTCACTAGATACATCAGCATGAAGGGTTACCACTGTCACTAGATACATCAGCATGAGGGGCTACCACTGTCACTAGATACATCAGTATGAGGGGCTACCACTGTCACTAGACACATCGACATGAAGGGTTACCACTGTAACTAGATACATCAGCATGAAGGGTTACCACTGTCACTAGATACATCTGCATGAAGGGTTACCACTGTCACTAGACACATCGACATGAAGGGTTACCACTGTCACTAGATACATCAGCATGAAGGGTTACCACTGTCACTAGATACATCAGCATGAGAGGCTACCACTGTCACTAGATACATCGGCGTGAGGGGCTACCACTGTCACTAGATACATCGGCATGAAGGGCTACCACTGTCACTAGATACATCGGCATGAGGGGCTACCACTGTCACTAGATACATCAGCATGAGGGGCTACCACTGTCACTAGATACATCAGCATGAGGGGCTACCACTGTCACTAGATACATCGGCGTGAGGGGCTACAACTGTCACTAGATACATCGGCATGAAGGGTTACCACTGTCACTTGATACATCGGCATGAAGGGTTACCACGGT